AACTGACTTCTGGGCCACGTCATATTTGTTTCTCCATAATACAATTCCACAACTCTTCTAATACTTCTCTATAATATTCCTTTACTTTCTCACCTTTCCAATGTAAGAAAGTGATTTAATGAAGATTAACCACATTTAGTGTATAGGAACATACTAAACATTGTTAACTGACTTTTGACCACACCATATTTTTACTGTATAACACAAATAGCTTAATAGATAAGTCGATAAGTTATCCTTTCTTTCTCACCTTTTTAATATAGACAATGCTTTAAGATAGTAGATTAAGTAGACTGTGTGTATGTATGTATATATATGTGTATATATATAACGACACATCTCATATATATATGAGATGTATCGTTAGTTAGGAAAGTCATTACTCATGAAAAGACATTTTAATTTCACGCCTGGATCACCTATTCTGAAATGTCGTTCAATGTTCTAGTTTAACCTTTTGTATCGATCCACAAAGTCAAGTGACTTTTATCATTATCTATCCAACATTCGAAAAAATTTAATAAAAATTAAAATATAATGAAATTTTAAAATTAAACTTCCGTTTTGTTTTTACATAAAACGTTTCTTTCCGCCATTTTTTTTTTAAACTTCACATTTAATTAAAATATATAAATGCATAAATCTCTGTTGAAGTTCTTTGTATTGTTAATTATATTTCTCTGGGGAGATTTGGAGTATAATTTCGTGCCTTAAAGTATTCCTTATAACAGGGAGTACGATATATTCTGTAAAATTCGGTGATATTTGTACATAAGTTTCTGGAAAATCGTCGTAAAGTGAGCCATTCCATTTCACGTAACTTCTGTTAACAATTGAGATTACTTTCCGTTCTGTAACTGAATTTTCGAAATTTAGAATAAATTTTACACAATTTTGATTGATTTCTTATTCTTAAGATATTGGATATAATAAATGTTATAAAACCGAGCGAGTTTGTTATATTATAAATCCCGGAGAACCGTCGTAAATCGAGGCAGCTTACGTGAAATATCGTCCTTATTTCACACAAGTTATGCTATAAATTAAGACTATGTTCCTGCAAAAGTAAAATGGGACTCGATAGAAATTAATGTATAGAAATTGTATTAATTACTATATAAAATTTCTGTGTATTAATTTTAAACATTTTTACATTTTGTGCTGCACGAATTGTTTACGTCTACAGTTATATTCTGGGATGAGTACAAATATGGCGTCGTTTTGACGTAAAACTGTGTACTAACCCACGACTTATATTGATAATTTACTGATTAGTAAATTGTATATTTGTAAATAATAATTATTAAAAAACAATTTCAAAATGTTTAACTTTTTGAAGCCATTAAAATCAACTTATCATCCCGAAATTCTTTTAACAAATCAGAATAACTATTCAGCAGCATAATACATACAGGGTAGTCAAAAGTCAATTAACCATGCTTTTGTTTTTGTATATTATAGATACAATTGTACGAATATTGTGCAATTTAATCTTTATAACGATTAACAGACTTTTGGGCCATCTACACAATAAGATGGAGTGGTCCAAAAGCCAGTTAACCGTGTTTTAATTGTGTGTTCTAGATAAACACTTGAATACTTCCACGTACTGTTATATATATATATATATATATATATATATATATATAACAGTTAGCTGATTTTTGAGTCATCCTGTACGCTAAAATCTAATCTAATATTAATAATTCGTGTATAATTTTCAAATTTATGTGAATTATTTATTTAAAAAATCTGTAGAAAACGATTCGCATTTAATTCCCGAAGATAGATCTTGATCAGATTTATCACAGCATCGTTCGGAATTTCAAGAATTTTTCTCGTATTTTAGAAAATATTTCAGCTATGCGAAGATTAAAAGTTTAGTGAAAGATGATATCCCTCACTGTTCATTGAGAATTAAGTTATGCAGATTTGTTTGTACCATAAATAGAAAAGTTTTCTATAAAAAAAAAAAGAAGGGAAGATCACCTCATCTGAATCTCTCCCTTCTCTCTTTCCACATCACTTCCTCTTAAGAATCAAATTATTAAATTTTAAAAAATTAATTATTATATTTTAATTTAAAATTTAATTAACTTAATAAAAATGTAACGTGTATTGTAATAATAATAATAGCAGTTTTTATCTCAATCCCATACAAATTGCTATATTTTCTGTATAGTTAGACGAGTAGTGCTGTGCAAAGAAGAGACATTTACAGGCGCTAGACGTTTCATGAGTCTATTAATGTATAAAGAAAGTTATAAAAAAAAATTACCCAAGCGTAACAGCTCTTAAATCTTTATTCAAAATTATAAAAAAATATATCTAAATTTTTAATAAGAAACTTTTTTAAGTGTGAAGAAACTTATATTTATAATAAATCTCATTTTCTGACTCATCTGTATTCATCATTTTAACGCTTCGCTGGAATTGTTCTTTATATATATATATATAAAATTAAAATGAGAATTTTTTAAAGTATTTATATACGTAAATAATTTATCAATCAAAATGTAATAATTGAATTTTTTTTTTTTTAGATTTTTATTTTTTGTTTTACGGTGTTTTTTTGTGAATGTAATGAAAATTGTGACTAACAGATGGAGCCACTTATTTGTTTACTAGTATTGTAAATTAATCAGTTTCTATGAAGGACCACGTGGTTAAATTTTATTATTTATTAACAAGAAAATGAGTAAAATAAAATAATAAATTATATGAATTTATTTCGAGAGTACGAAAATCTTGATAAAGGTTAACCGATAAGTGATGATAATTCAATGACAGATTGATTTATGTTCCTATATTAGCAGGAAAAAGTCTTAAAAAAACTTACGAAGAGTTGTTAATTAGGTCAAGTGGAAGGAAAAAAAATATATTATAAATTTGGAAATAGGTATTGATTATATTAACTATAAATAAACCTAATTAGTGTTATTTATCAATTGAAGGACTGCTAACATATTTAACATTCTTGTTTTAGTATTTAGGTCAGTTATATGCATCTAAATGGATGAATAAAACGTTTCTTTTGATTTATTAAGTCTTAATCTAAAAAAATTACGATAGATTTTTTTAGATTTATATTTATTTCTAACCAAAAATTAAAATTTTATACGATAGATGGCAGCAGTTAGGAAATGTATTTAATTTCGAATTACGTAATTTAAAATTTTAAATTTTTCCTAACCAATCACAGGTCAATGCATATTAATTATTTTGTACCATCAACCAATCAGAGGATGGAATGAACATAATGTATAAAAGATCCAAACTTTTTACAATTACATAACCAAAAAACTTAAATTAAAAAATAAATTTTTAAATTTTTATTTATTTATTTATTTTAAAAATATTTTCTGACGATTAAAATGTAAAAATTATAAAAATAATTTTTATTTAATTATATATACATTATTTAAGTAAATACAGTAAGAATCTTATATATATATATATATAGGAGTATGAAAAACACTTGTAAATATATGCAACACATTAAAACAAATATCCACAGACAGACATACAGACACACATACACACCAGTTACATAATTTATGTATCTGCAGTTAGATAAAAGTGTGATCTAATCGTGTGTGAACAATAACAAGATTTTCTCGTTTATATATAGAAACCTCGAACTACTTTTTTATAAATCGATTTTGTATAAAAAAAAATTCTGTAATCGCTTTAAAAAATGTCGAATTTAAAAAAAAATTTAAATAAATTACAAAAAAAATGGAAACAACTATTTAAATTCTTTTAATATTTTTCTCTCTGTCTCTCATTTTTTTTTAAATTACGTACAGTACATTATGATACCTATCGAGTTACATATTTACATAGTTTTCAATTAAATATATTTACATGCTTTCTATACATGGACTTATAATCTACATATATTTTTACATAACAGCAAAACGTACATAATTTTTTTCCTGTATTTTAAACACGTTTTTTTTTTTTAAATATATATATATTTTCCTCATAAGGATCATCGACAACGATTATTAAGGTGCTGTACACACGATCACAATTATTTTAAAAATTGAATTATCGGTTTACACATCGAAAACGACTCTATTACACGTTCTGATGACGTAGGCAAATTTGTAACTACGCACGTTTTGATGATGTCGTTCTAAGCATGTGTTCGGATCACCGGTGTGTGTTTATCGATCGTAACAAACGTTTTCCAGCTAAAAATAAGATGGATAGAAATGAAATATATATTTATATATAAAATTAAAACATTAAAAAAAAAATTTAAAAAAAAAAAATAGAGGTAAACATAGGTGAGTTAGAATTATATAAAATGTTGTGTTGTTAAATGAATTCGATTAAATGGCGGTGGTAGTTTGGTACGGAGTCTTTAACAATCAATGGTACCCGATAGGACTATCAGGTATAGCTTATAAGCTCGTGTTTTTTTTTATTTCCTTTCGTGTTGCATGTTGTAGATTTTAGTGTTTTATGTCATTTACGAATCGTTTCCGTTATTTTTTTTTCTATTTTTTTATTGAATTGCAAAGCGGGGTCCTTCAGAGCAGTTTGTGTAAATTAGTATCATTAAACTTTTTGGAGTATACTCTTCAACTGTTACACTATTTTTTGTGATAAGAATATCTTTTTTTTATATTTATATATGATGTATGTATATATATATATAAAATTAAGGTTATCACAGTCATTTATCTCTTAAATGTTTTAATAATAGGCGTTACGCATGTTTATACTTTGATGCTATAATTTGTTGAGTTAGAGATTGAATTGTATTAAAAATCAAGAATATATATACACGTATATATATAAATTTTTTTTTAATGATATGAATGTAAATGTTGCTTTGCACGCCCTAAGAGACGGCCCTCTTGATAATTGGAATTGATATATCTTACCCGATTATTAGAGGAGCGCATCATTATTCTTTATCAAAATCACATCAAGTTAGCATGGAAACTGCACTGTATGAAAAATTTTAATTGATTGGATCACCCTTTATTAAGTTAAGTGTCAGACGTTTCTGACCATCGCGTCAATAGAAATTATTAAAAGTTTTGAAATTTCCTACTTACCATTCGTCATTTATTCTCTTCGATTAATGCTAACGGGTGTATAGAATTTCATATACAAAAGAATAATTAATTTTTTTGCGTATTATTTTCAATCAAACGTAACTTTCCAAGTGTGAATTTTTAAAACTATCCGATTTACTACCTTGACTTACAATTCCTTGAGCTCTTAAACTTGTTGTAAGTGACGTATAAGTGGTACTAGAAGTTCCTTGACGTATGAGTCTCTTATCACTGTGACAACATAAAACACGTACGAATGCTTCACGAAATTTCGACGAAATTAAATTATACAATATAGGATTTATAGCCGAATTAATATACAACATGACACGACAGAAGTATAATAAATTATAATAAGTTTCCATCCCTAGATCTTCTACTGTCTCTTGTTGTACGAGAATTAACCATGTTGTAAATATTCTAAAGGGCATTAGACATACAAAGAAACAAGTTACTACACAGGCTAACATTAATACAACTTGTTTTCTAGATCTCATTCTACATCTCTCGGTAGCATTGTTTAAGTGTTTACGATCTGTCATAAGGTGACGAGTAATTATAATATATATGGCTATCAGGACGGCGAATGGTATCCAAAACAGTATAAGAGTCATAAGAAAGAAATATATCTTTTGCCATGTGCTATGAGCTGATGTGTGGCAAACAGTTACCTTGGTTCCATCTATGTATCCTACGTAGTCGTATTCGGCAATGAGTAATATAGGGCTTGTAACAAATATAGCTATTAACCATACTGTAAATATTATAATCAAGGCTCTCATTTTGGTACACGTATAACCAGCTTTCAACGGTTGACATATTGCATAATAACGTTCGAAACTAATGGCTAATATTGTCAAAATTGACCCGTGAGCTACTGTAGTTTCCACGTAAGGAACGACTTTACCTGTAAGAGAAAAAAATGTAATGATATTTTATTTAATAATTTGCTTAATTTTTCCGTGTTTTATATAATTACCTAGGAAAAACTGATTAGAATCCGTTGGTTCGATAGGATGTGGCAACGTAAATACTAAGGGAGAGGAATTTCTATGGGGAAACTGTCCTCTGTTTAGGCGTTATACACGCGAGGATGGACCTATCTATAGAGAAAATTGCTCCTATTTACGTGTTAAACACGTGAAGAAAATCCGGAAAACTCCACGTGAGGCGCAAACCCACGACTTACCAGTGTTTTTATTCACTCAATTATCGGTGGTCACATGCTTAAAATCGAAGCCACGCTTTTCACTAATGATTAAGAGAAGCCAAAATTAAAATAAATGATAATTTTTAACCATATTCGAGTATTATTTTCATTAAAATAAACCTTTCTTTGGTAGTATTTATCCCGAATTTTCATAAATTATATCAAGCTCTATGGATAAATAATATATAAGTTTACTGCAATATGTCGATAAGAGAGAATCGTATCTCTTCGTGGAATATATTATCATAAGTTATATAAATATATATGACGATAAATTACTTTAGCTTGTGTAAAGTGTAGCATTATCATCATCATCATCACCATCATCACTTATATATTACAAAGTAAAATATGAAAAATCAATAGCTATTTTGCTACATTCATTCATCTATTGATCAGGTTCAATGGTATTGCTAAGCTTTAATTTATTTTGTTACACATAACAAGATGAATTAGTAATATCCTCGGGAAGATTTGTTAAAGTATAACAAATTATTCCTGGGGCAAGAATACGAATTAAACAACAAGATTTTCCTATTTTAATTAATTTTATAAGAGATATATTTTAATAAAAAAAAATTTAACAAAATTAAATAGGGCATTTATTATTAAAAAATGCAGTTTTACACGCATTAAATAGTACGCTCACATCATTAAAAAAAAAGTACAGTTAAAAACACACAAGCTTATTTAAAAAAGAACAATTTAATATGCATTTAATCATTTTTTATATTATTTTTCAAGTAATAAAAATGTAAAAAAATTGCATTAAAGCATTTAAGTAGTAATACTGGATATATATATATTTTTTCCTTTTGATTTGATGGCAATTTTGACAATCTGTTACTCTCTAATGACCCAAAAATGATATCGCTAGCATATCAAATAACTTGTACGTGATATAATAATAATCTTATGCGAATATAGACCTATATTTTTTACTTGATGGATATTTATCGAACGTTTAAAATGCAGATTGGTTTGTATTTTTTAATTATTTATTTTACTATGCGGATGTCGATTCCTTACAACATCTGTTAGATTATAATTATTGATAAATACCTGCTGCGAATTGGTTTAAATACGTTAGGAAAATTCATTCAACCGTTTCCATGTAGTGAGAGAGAGAGAGGAAGAGGAAGAGGGAGAGGAAACAGTTAGTTAGAAAATTTAATTCATTAAAAATAAAATAATAAAATAAGAAGAAGGGAGGGAAAGAATAATATTACTACGGTGAGATAATTTGATTTCCATTCAAACAGTTGAGTAAAATATAATTATTGTATACGAAAGAGAAGCCTCCATCATTCAGCAAGTACATGTGCACTCACAGATGGTTTTGAGTACCATTTTATAAGTAGGAAAAAATTGATTTGTTATAGGAAAAAAACTGTTAGCTTAACAATTTCTATACGTTCGATATATATATATATATATATATATATATATATATACACACAATTTTCATTATAAGTTTCTCGTTTGAAATTAATTTTATAGTAAAATTAAGTTAAAAAATTATATCTAAATACTGTAAATAATTCTAAAAATATATATAGTTCAAACCTCGATGTAACGTTCTCCTAAATAGCTCATACAACACTCTAGTATAATGCTTCAGTGAATACTTTCGAATTCAAACCTCTGTTACTCTACATTATTATTGTTTGAGATATTTCAGTACCACATTCGATTTAGTGTCAGTTTCGGAAACGAACAAATAGTAACGCTAAATCGAGATTTGTATATATAAATTCGAGTTAAACGATAAAATTTTATGTAAACACACAATATATTGTTTATATAGTGTTACAATTTACTACGAATTCTCTTTCTCTCTCTCCCTCTCTCTCCATAACCTCGATATAACGCTCTTCTAAATAACGCCACTCTCGTAAAACTCCAGTGAATACTTGTGTATTCGAATTCGAACTTTGTATACAATAACATAGTTCTTGTCTGAGATACTTCGATTTAGCGCCACACTCAGTTTTGTATCAGCTTCGATTTATCACCCTATTTGTTCGTCTCCGAACAAATAACCGTGTGCTAAAATCGAGATTTTTATATATAAAAATCCTGTTAATAAGTATGTTTTACTGCTAATTCGAAGGATGCTACATCGAGGTTTGATTGAGGATAGACGATTCACGTTATATTCTATATATACACGATATGTGAACGAAACTCTAAACATGTCTCATATACGAATTTCTTATACTATTACAAACGAATAAATAACGTAACACGCTAGCTATTATTTCAATCAATTAGAAACTTATACAAAAGACTTTTTAGATGTATAAATTGTATTTTTTGTAAGATTTATATATAAAATATTAATTGAAATTCCGTATTATTTGTGATCCATTTGATAGTATCGTATGTGAACACGACGATGATCCAAAATCGACATGGATTTGAGAAAGTGAATAATGGTAATAGATGACATTTGAACGAATCCGAACAAAGTAGATATCTTCGTGACAAGAAATAAAATTTGGATTTTTTTTTTCTATAAAAAATGAGAATAAATCTCTCTCTCTTTCTTCTTCTTTTTTTTTCATGTCAATAAAGATCTATAATATTAACCTTTTGGTACGAGAAAGACTCATTGTTTGAGCTCATCGCAGTATGATTTCGCTATTTCTGTCTCCCCACGATAAATCATAAGTACCGATTGAAAGGCATTATATATAAAAATCTAGTAAATTCTACTAATTTGCTGGATTTATATTAAAAAAAAAATAAATAATAATACACTAAATTTTCTAGTAAATGTTGAGAGAAATATAGTAAATTTTTCAATTAAGTAGTGATAAAGAACATAATATTCTACTAAATTAAAAATTTGTTATTTAAAAAAAAAAAAGAAGTATACAGTGCTCTTTTCATATTAATACTTTTAATTATCCATACATGAAATTGTAATTAAATTAATTCTAAGAGAAATTTAAAATATTTTTAATTATTATTATTTTTTAAAATCGTTTTATCAACGTTGAAATTCTGTTTTAATAAGTACATTTTATAAAAGAATTGTAAGGGGGTGGAAAAAAAAAAAAAAAGATATTTGAGTAAGAACAAGTTGGAAAATTCGTTGTTAAACGACGAGTTTGATGCGCTTCTTGACTTGGCATCGTCAAGAAATGTAATTACTAAAATCCTATTGAGTGACAAGACAATTCGTAGTTTCATAACGTTCAAAGAATATGAACTGTGCACATGGTATTGATGTGTTCTTCAACACTTTTCTATTGCTAAATTTTATAAACAAATTTCTTTGTTGGATTAAAATAAATTTAATTTTTTATTGTGTTCTTTAAGCTTTTATACTGGTAATTAAAAAAAATATACGTGACTTTATTAAATAAAAATTCCATAAAAATACTCATAATTCCCATAGAGTAATGGTAATACATTTTTAAAAAAATATGTAATAATAATAATAATAATAATACTAACAATGTGATTAACAAATATTTAACCATCCTTTCAATCTCCCTAATGAAATTATCGAGTAAAGTATGAATTAATTCAATGCTAAATCGAATACCCTAGAGTAGATAAAATTACTATAAAGTCAAATTTAATAAAAGATTATTATAAAAATCGAAAATAAAATGAAGATTTAGACGTTAAGAAGTGGAAAATAATATATAAAAACAAGAGAAAGTAATTTAAAATAAAGAAGAAAGGGGAAGAGGAAAAAAAAAAAAAAGGTGTTAGAAGAGGTGACAAATAGTTGGCACAGCAGATGACAAAGTAGAAAGTATTACTTCCTGATAAATGACTTAATTGTATTATGAATGAGTTACCTTTCTAGTGTTACTTTAAACACAGTAAAATCCTTAAAAGGTAACGAAATAAATACAAATATACAAAAAGATATTTTTATATTACATCCAATTTGTCACGTGTCATCCACCACGTGGTTGTCAGATTACATATATTGGTCGATTTCGCACACGTTCTAGCATCGTTACCTAGGTGATACGCGTGCAAGAATCGACCAACCAGAGACTTCGTTTCTTTGTAATGGGCTATCGAACCGTCACTTAAACTTAATTGACGTAGTAGACAGCTAAAGGTTGAATGTACCGAGGTGAATGTAGGGGTATTTTTACCTTTATACAGTTAAGTCGATGAAAGGAATATAAAATCTTATATTAGTTAGTTGCTGTTTTTTTGATAGATTTTTTGGTATGTGTGTGTATGCGTGTGTGTCTACTTGGCTCCAACAAAGTCTTCTATCAACTATTATTAACATCCATGCCAAGATTTGGGATGATGTATTTGGAGAATTGGGACAATTCGAATAGAGAATATGCAAATGGATATTTTCAAATCAACACCTAAAGTCTTTTCTTGACAAAGATACGGAGAGAATTTTTAAAATTCTATTAAAAAATACATGTATTTTTAAGTATATTTACTAAAAATACACCGAATTTTCTTCCTTTTCTAAGATAAAAATTTTCTCCTCCTTTTTCTCTTATTAAATCTTTGATAAGAAGATATTTTTTCTAAGTCTTTTTATTTTTATTTATATATTTAATATATATATAGGCCTATATTTTTTTTTTATAAAAACAAATTACATTCAATTTCGTTTAAATTAAAATATATTTCGAGGACATCAACGACAAGTGACTTTACATCTCATCGATTTTTGCTGATAGTCAATTTTTTTTTTT